TAAATTATAGAAATCGCTGACGTGGTCGAAAGTTATGCGGTAACATACATAAAAAATAAAATTTAAAAAAATAGTCGGACAAATAGTGACATCCTTCTTTTTGTGGAGTCGGTTAAAAAGAGTACTGCTGATACAAGATGCCGATGCCTTGATGGCCACCTGGCTATCCGAGAAAATGGCGACGCGCTCTCCGGGGTGTAAACCATTAGGTTTTAAAAAAAAGACAGCCTTCAGCTTTCGTGAATACTACTACTGCTCGGCGGAATATCTTGCGCTGTGATCAGATGGAGCTTTAAACCCAATCAGGCATCGCTGATCGCAGCCATGCTCCTGCACAGGAATTTCTTGGATAACTCGTCATCACATCAGATCATCCTATCGGAAATCAGTAAGTTTCTTATCACATGAGCTACATAAAATCTTTGCAAGCCTACAATTCTGAGTTGTTTTTCAAAATCGATCCACCTGGCGGCACATGAGCAGATCTTGTAATCTTATGATTTTCTGAAAAGGATATGATACATCCGTCACAAGTGAGGTGACCCAAACTACATGCTATGCTTTAGCAGAAGCAAGCCTGTAATAAGAACATTCCGCGACGGTTATCGTATTTGTTTTAATTCTATAAAAGTAGTAGTAACTGCCGCCTGACTAACGAAATAAGTAAATGATTATCAGCTTGCTTGGCGGGTTCCTTATAACAAAGACATCGGCTTGATAGATAACCCACGCCCTAACGCCAAACGTCAACCTCCATTGTAGCTTCTAGAGATCTATAGAAACTTAGACATACGATCACGTAGTCTATTCTCCCGGTTAAGGATAACGCTACTGTGACCGTAAAGTCTGAATACAAGCTGCACCGACGCTTAGGTTTCGCGGCATATCAAAACCCCATAGAATCGCATTGGCTTAACAATAGCTGTGATTATTCATTGTAAAAGCGCAGGTGAAACCTCCCAAGTGTAGCCCGACACCTTTCATGTATACAGTGTTGCCGAGACCTTCCTTACCAGCTCCTCCACATTCCTCGACATTTTGCTGTCCAGTACGATTCCAACTATCACTAACAGCTTTCAGCGTTTGGTTCGCCAGTGAGCTCAGAGTCATTACACATTTGCCGCTTATGATAAATGAAACGTCTTCTTAGCGTAGCTGCTTCTGCTCGGCTCTATATTCATGAGTAATTTATTAACCAAAAACGTCCTTAGAAGTGTAGAAATAGCGGACTACCCTCAAGTGGGGCTAAAGTCAAGCGCTATTTGGCGATAAATTGGGAGGATCGTTCAGTCGCTCGAAGGTAGTAAGACGAATGTTGTCTAGTATGGTTCCCAACAAGAGCACCATGTTGTTGTTGTTGTAGCGACTACTTAACCCCGCTAGAGTTGGCTCACCCATCATCGCTGAGGGGTGGCCCAAGAAGTGCGCAACTTCAACGGGGCTGTCAATTAGGATAGAGGCGTTAGCTGGGTGGTAGGGCTCCACGGATGAACAAGGTACAGCGGCTTGCCGGCAGTACTTGCGAAAATGTCAAGTAGACTGCTTTCCTGCCATTGGCCGGTCTGTCACAAACTAAGCCATTTCAGTATGGATCATGGGCACTAGCCCCCCTCCCCCACCCCCCAAAACCTGTTAGAACGTCCCTCAACACCATTCGAGCCAAGGCGAAAAAGCTGGTGATAACGACATGTTTTGTGTAAGCAGTTTTAATACGCTTACCATAAATCAACTGTAATCGCCGTAACCGTAATCATAATCTAATAAGCAAAACGCTGCCATCATGCTACTTTAGGAGACATCTCAGCCAACTAAAAGATATATCGTCGTTTAAAGTGCAAAACAGCGTATCAACAAAATGCAAAACCGCGTATCACCAAAATGCAGAACCGCGTATGTGAAGTTTTAGAAATCATTTTCTAGAGTGTAAAAACACCCATATTTTAAAATGGTTCTCGTTTTTATAAAGAAATCGCACTTCTTGCTTTTGCATGACGATACGCGGTTTTGTACTTTAAACGACGATATGTATGTATGTATGTTCAGCACGCACAAAACTCATTGAGGGACATCTGCTAGGAATAATACACACTAAGTTGCAAAGCGGTAGCATCCGCCATCCGCTTTTAAATTTCAAGCGACGAAATCGTGTTCCCATAGGACACTCGAACGTATAGACTATGCTCCGCCCGTTCCANAATCAACTGTAATCGCCGTAACCGTAATCATAATCTAATAAGCAAAACGCTGCCATCATGCTACTTTAGGAGACATCTCAGCCAACTAAAAGATATATCGTCGTTTAAAGTGCAAAACAGCGTATCAACAAAATGCAAAACCGCGTATCACCAAAATGCAGAACCGCGTATGTGAAGTTTTAGAAATCATTTTCTAGAGTGTAAAAACACCCATATTTTAAAATGGTTCTCGTTTTTATAAAGAAATCGCACTTCTTGCTTTTGCATGACGATACGCGGTTTTGTACTTTAAACGACGATATGTATGTATGTATGTTCAGCACGCACAAAACTTATTGAGGGACATCTGCTAGGAATAATACACACTAAACTGCAAAGCGGTAGCATCCGCCATCCGCTTTTAAATTTCAAGCGACGAAATCGTGTTCCCATAGGACACTCGAACAACAACTTTACCCAACTCCAGTCAACTGCTACAGTATAGACCATGATAAAAATATAGCAAGGTAGAACCGTTCTCTCAATTTGTCGGCCATGATTTTTTTTTGAAGTTTGCCAACATTTTAAAATCATTTAAAAGTGAAAATAAAAAAATGAAATTGTTGTTGCTTGAGATTGAAAATGAAAATGTGTGTGTGAGTTTGTGAGTAAATTTAAAAATTAAATTGTTTGGAAACGTCAAGAATTTTAAAAGTCACTCTCAGCGGTTCTACCTTACTATATTTTTATCATGGTATAGACTATGCTCCGCCCGTTCCTATGACAGTTGGCTCTCCCCGAAACTCTTTGGGGAATTTGTTTTACAGTAAAACAACAACTAAACTCCGCCAGAACCAGTATTACCCAATACATATAGGATACATACATATCTTTAACTTAATACAGAAAGGCCCTATCTCATATCGTCGCTGAAATGCAAAAAGCCGTAGCAAATTAAAATTTTTTATTGCATAAAATGATTTAGGGACTTATAATTCTATGATATGTATCATAATCAAATCAATCAAGAAGTGAATTTTGAATTTCAAGTTAGTAACGGCTTTTTGTATTTCAGCGACCATATCGACTGCTGACATACAAAGCGATCGGCCGGTCCGTTGCAAACTATGCCGCCCCAGTGTGGACAGCAGGTACGAGTGACACGCAGTGGAAAAACCTTCAGATTTGCCAAAACGCCGCTCTACGAACCGCGACAGGGTGTCTCCTTATGTCCTCCGAACAACACTTACACGACGAGACTACAATGCTCCGGGTAAGGGATCACATTATGTTGCTGTCAAAACAGTTCCTGCTAGGCTGTCACAGAAAAACTCACCCTAACTACAGCCTGACACAGAAAACTGCACCACCAAGACACGTAAGGAGACACATCAGTCACCTAGAAGCAGACATCGACGAACAACTTCACTTGCCACTGAGCCGCGAGGCATACGTTGAGGGAATCAATAACCTTCATCGCGAAGCAGTCATCTCCGCAACACGAGGACGCCACGAAAACATAGTCCTCGGTGGCCGGCCGCCTCCCATCGATTTGAGCGAATTCCAACTACCGCGCGAAACAAGAACCACACTGGCGCAACTCAGATCTGGCTGGTGCAGCCGCTTAAACTCTTANGCGCAACTCAGATCTGGCTGGTGCAGCAGCTTAAACTCTTATAGAACCAGATTAGACCCAGAGATCGCTGACACCTGCCCAGCATGCGGAACTGGTCCACACAACACCGCACACCTGTTCGCATGTAGGGCACCCTGAAGCGCTGTGGACTCAACCTATTGAGACTGCTCGCTTCCTGGGCCTAAGGTTGGAGGAGTCAGATGGGGAAGATGAAGATGAATAAACAACCAACCAATTCGGGGACTACGTGCTGCTAACACAACAACAACAACTGCTGAGTGGAAGATCGACCTATTTCGGCAGTCAGTTTGAAAACGTCCTATCTCAAAAAAAATTTCAACAACGCCCTATTTCAGATTTTTGTTGAAAAATATCCTATCTCAGTATTTGGTTGAAGAACGCCCTATCTCAGAATTCAGTTCAAAAATGCCCTATCTAACTTCAAGATAATATCTTGAATATAATATATTGAAAATCGACTGCTGAGTGGAAGATCGACCTATCTCGGCAGCCAGTTCGAAAACGCCCTATCTCAAAAAAGTCTAATTTCAAAATATATTGAAAATGTGCTGATATAGAGCGTTTTTGAAACGAGTTCTGAAATAGGGCGTTCTTCAAACAAATTCTTGTAAAGTTTTTTGAGATAGGACGTTTTCGAATTGGCTGCCGAGATAGATCGTTCTTCCACTCAGCAGTCGATATAAGATAGGGCCTTTCCATGGTGAAATAATAACAAGGTGTTGTCAGTAGCGACGTGTTTGTTGTAATTTTGACAAGATCGGCATGCTTATTTNGGAATATTATTGAAAAACACCCTATCTCAAGGTTGAAGATCGCCCAATTTCAAAATACGATTAAAAAATGCCGTCTAATTTCAAAATATATTGAAAATGTGCTGATATAGGGCGTTTTTGAAACGAGTTCTGAAATAGGGCGTTCTTCAAACAAATTCTTGAAAAGTTTTTTGAGATAGGACGTTTTCGAATTGGCTGCCGAGATAGATCGATCTTCCACTCAGCGGTCGATATGAGATAGGGCCTTTCTATATTAAGGTAACGATATATACGCGTTTGTTTCTTTTTTATTTTTATTTATTGACATACATATATAATTTATTTCTTTCCAAATATAGTTCACGTACTTAACATTTACAACTAAAAATGGACTTATGTTGCCTTTTCTAATAACAGTGAATTTTGTACACACTGGCAACTCTAAACTAATCTTATTGGCCGGCAAAAGTGATAACAAATAAGTCCAACTAAAATTCTCTGATAAGCAGACTGCCTGCCCGAAATATAATTTACCGATTATAAAATTTAATTAAAGCCTACTTTAATTAATAACAATAGAAAAATAAACCAAGAGAAATGGAAACAAACCAAAAGTTTACATTTCGACGAGCTAAAATCGAGGACATTGCAGCTGTACGCCAGATGATTCAGGTAAGTAGTGAAAGATTAAGAGAAGTTGTGTGTTCCAATAAGTGAACATTAGAATGAGGTAAAGAGCTTGATTATCAAATGAAATCCGCATGACTTGACTATTTTTTATTAATTTGTCCAATATGCCGCCAGGAACTGGCCGATTTTGAGAAGATGAGCGATGGTCCAAAGATAACAGAGAAAGGTAAATAAACAAATGGTTTTGTATGTATGTTTATTTACTAGTTTAAAAATATTTGCCTATTCCAGACTTAGTACGCGATGCTGGCCTCGATGGAGGTCAAGAATATTGTCACATATATGTGCTCGAAGTGCAAACTGAAGAGAAGCCTACACTGTAAGTAAACAGAGCATTTAAATACACAAATTGGTATGAATAACTTTATATTGGGCTATAAATGTTCGCATATGTACATATTTATGTACATATGTATAAACGCATGCCTATCAGTACCTGGAATGCATTCCTGTATGCATCTACATATGTATTTACTTTCTATATGCCAATATTTTCGAATCGTTGGAATTCAACTCCACTACGTTGTACATATGTACATATGTACACAGTGTATATGCATACATTATTGTAAACTCATGTATGTATGTATATACATAAGATTGCAAGCATAAACACCCATCAAAAAGATTGACATAGACAAATACTCAGTAACATAGTCCACCTTAAATATTTACCATTAGACACTGATAAGACAAAACCACATATTTCCACATTATTCATGCTTACCGCTATTTTTTCTAATTGCTTCACAGCGCCATTATAGGCTATTGCATTTGCTTCTACTCCTACTCAACATGGCAGGGTAAAACATACTTTCTTGAAGATGTTTATGTGCGTCCCGCATATCGTGGCTTAGGTGCTGGTGCTTACATTTTCCGTGCTGTTGCAGCTAAAGCGAAGGAATACAATTGTCAACGTTTGGATTTTCATGTGCTCGGTTGGAATCCGGCGCGTAAATTTTATGACCGAATGGGAGCTATCGATTTAACAGAGACTGAGGAATGGCATTTTTATCGTGTAAATGCTGAGCAAATTGAAAAATTGGCCAATGAGCTGTAAAACTATTTAAGCAAAACAATTAAAGCAACAAAATGGTAAATTATTCTAGTAATGCTGTGCATATGCATACAAACGTTTGTATATATTTGCATTTTTTTTTTAATGATGCAAATGTGTATACATACATGTGTATATACATGTAAAAAATTTTGGAGCAACCAATTTTATTTTGAATAAAATAGCTTTAATTACAATGTTTTAACTAAAATTAAAGTCCATTAAATACTATATATTCTTACCCAAAGTTGTAAATACACTAACCAGATTATTTTCAGAAATGGAAAACAAACCAAAAACTAAGCATTTAAGCCGGGGAGTATTTTTCGAAATTTTATAGACTTTCTGAGTCTTATTCAAATGCATTCTAGCATTTAAGAGCGTTTTATCATTTCTGGTAACCTATTTTAGTACAAGCAAACAACAAACTTGAATAAATGTGATGCAAAAATATTCAGTAAAATATTAGAAAAAGAATTTGGCTAGTACCTTTCCACCTTAGAGTAATAATGTAGTACATCAGTTCTACAGTAAGCATATTTAGCAAAAATGCATCAATGCAATGAGTCAGTAGTATCATTCTCTTATAGATTTTAATAAACAAACTTTTTTGTTTATGAATACGTACACTTTTTCTTTCAAAAAATTGCAACAATAATACTTTCACCGATTGCCTTCGAAAATGTAGAATATCTGGAGTAATTAGTAGATATTGTATATATATAAATTCTTAATTCTACTGTTCGCCATTGCTGCTGGCTATAACATGTATCTGCATACTCTTTGTGCTATTGTAAACTTGCCCTTGTGGAAACGGATGTACTTTGGAATGTGTGTCGGTTTTGTTTTTGCCACCAGCCGTGTAACGTGATAGACGTATATTGGGCATAGGGAGAAATCCAGTACTCAACGGCATAACATCCAATGATATTGAATGACTCTCGACATCCTTCATTGATACAACACCTAAAATGACAAAACAAGGAGAGGTCAAGCTTTGACTTTTCGATTGCGAAGAAGCTATAAATAAGGTAAAGAGCTAATTTAAGATAAGCGTTATTTTACATAAATAACTTTTTACTACTTTACTTACCACAGACTTTTCGTAAAAGTTCAATTAAAATAAAGAGAGATTATTACGAAAGTGTAAAAATATGAAACACTTTGTGTATATACATAAATAAAAAAAAATATGAAATTGTAAAAAATAGGGATTCCATGTTCGCCTTTAATCTGGCAGTAATATGCGAAATAAAGCGAGAATATTGCATTTCTAGTCTATCAATGACTGTCTGTTGTAATAAAATTTTTGACAATTTTATGGAGAAATAAGGTCTAAGACACCTGCTTATAAATACAGTACATAGTTATTTAGTTGCAGAACATTTTCCGATTTAAAAGACTTGCTATATATTTATGTATTGCCGAGATTAAAAAAATTTCAAACTACTTCTGCTTCAACTAAAATCCCTTATTTTTACTAAACTTTCTAAGGAGCACAAAGAAAATGTCTGCACTCAAAAATGCATGTATAACCAACCTGCCGAGCGTCCACAAACTGCCCATAAATTCTGATCGCTCAGCACTTCGTACATTAGGTCCACGTAGGGATTTTCATGCACCTTCGTGATTTTCAAATTCAAATTGCAAACTGAACGCAAACGACATAGCTCATTGGGTTCAAGCTGTGTCTGCACTTTGAAGAGCGTTGTATAGTCCACCAAATCGAAAGCGCAGCCATAATTTCGCAAAAGTTGTGGCTTCTCCACAGTTGAGTATTTTGTCATAAAGTGCACTTTGATTACCGCTGGCAGCTCGACCTCTGCTTTTAGCGGCTCTACTTGTATTTCATACAAGTACGAAACCGTTAGACCTTTGTAGATTTGCTGCATGGAAAAAGTGATACAATTTTAAATAAATCGTTATATATAATTATGTTTTCTTCCCCCACATACCACATGAGCCTGTGACGGTGGATTCAAATCTATTAAACGCACACCTGCAACATCGCATTTCACCTTCGCCTCTGTCAAAAATAAATTCGCTTCCAAGCCTTTCATAACCACATGCAAAAACTTTTGTGTACCACAAGTGTGTAGTCGGCATTGTGCCTCCAGTGCGGGCTGAAAGTCAATAGCTATCTGCAACTCATTGCGTGACCAAGGGCATGATAATGTAACATAGTGTTCCAAGTGTTTAGAAATCTTACGTCCAGGCAAATCCGTCAACACTTCTAACGGGATTTCACGCTCCTCGAATGATTTGAAATTTGGCAGAGGCACCTGCAAGATGCTATCGAATGTGGAATCATCTTCAGGATTGGCAACAGTTTTTATGTCTTTGACGGTTTTCTTCTGTACAATGTCATTATCGTTGGACGCCGGAATNTTGCAAGATGCTATCGAATGTGGAATCATCTTCAGGATTGGCAACAGTTTTTATATCTTTGACGGTTTTCTTCTGTACAATGTCATTATCGTTGGACGCCGGAATTTTTGGCTCCTCTACTTGTTCGTTATCCTGCTCTACAGCCAGCTTGTCTATTGAACGCGCCATCCGTATGCGCAAATTTTTCGAACATTTCAATACAATTTTTGCATCGGCTGGGAAAATAAAACTACCGCCAGAAACTGTCAAACGTATTGGCTGTTCAATGCCTGCAATCAAATTCTTGAAATTTAACACTGCCGCAGCCGGCTTGGTAGTGATCACAAATGGTGGCGCTCTGAAGGGAATTTGCTCAGAGAAAAACTCCAATTGTGATATGGAAATACGCATCTGCAATCAAAATAGAAATTTTAGATTCACATCCTTTAGTTCATTAAAAATTTAAGTTATAGACTTACCTGCTTGAAATCCCAAGTACCAACTCGCGTTGCCTTGGATTTTAATTCAATGAAATTATTGCCCGGCTGTATAGCGATATTCTCAGTAGCTACGAAATTTGTGAAATCTGACTGCACGCTAGGCGAAAGCTTGCGTTTGGTGCTACTCGTGCGGCGCACTGGCTGCTTCGCTTTGGGCACGTCGCATTCAACTGAGGCGCAATCCAGGGTATTGTCCTGTTTGTAGTCCAACCGCAGTGACATTTTCAGGCGCGATTCCTTGAGTGGCGATGATGTCGGTGTGCTGAGAAATTTCTTATCTTTGCAGCCACTAACCGACACAATCAACGGTGGCGTTGCTACGTCGCCCGTAAGTGGTGAAACATGCATTTCGTAGCATAATTGTATGCTCTCAGCAACAACTTCGCGGGGATAGAAGCTCTCCAGCTTTAATTGCACTATTACAATATCATCTTGTATTATGGGTTCCACATTCATTACATTTATGTCGCATATTCGAAAATGATCTTCAAGCACGCAAAAATTAGCATTCTCCATGGACGGTTGTGCGGATAGTGTAGTTGTTAATGTCTTAACCGATTTCAGAAATTCATCAAAATAAAATGAACGCACCAACATTTCCAACTCCTGACAACACGAAATTGAGCTACATGTCTTGGTGTAAGCCAACGAATCGCCCATTTTGCGATAGCAATTGGCCAGTTCCAGCAGTGTTTGTGAACTTAGCGCATGCCAATTCTCCGCCTTTAATTCGCGTAACAAATCAGTAAAGAAACCTACGGCCTTATGCGGTTCATTCAGAGCGCAGTAAAAATTGCCTAAATCCAAGCCAACCAGACGCGCCGAACGGTGACGGGAAACGTGTTTGTAAGTACTAATGGCTAGTTCTGCCAATTCCAAATAAAGTTTTTGGAATGCTTGATTTGAGCCCAAAGCTTCCTTCAATTGTTCGGTTGCTGATTTTTTCGGTCGCCGATTGGGAGAGCGGTCCCGTTTTTGCTCTGAAATCTGAGGTGTGGGGTTCAAGAATTGCGACTGCTCGAGTGGCGTATCACCAATGCCAGCGGAGAGTTGCACGACTATATGCAACTGCTCGGAAGTGGGCGTAAAGCCGGGAAGCAGGCCACATAGCTTTCCCAATTCATACAATTTGTCTTTGGCCAGATTCCAAATGGGGGCACAATGTTGAAAGCAAACCATTTCGTTTGGCTCCATAGCCTGCTCGCAAGTCTGTAGAACCTCTAACGCGCAAACGAATTCCCAGCAAGATAATGCGCCCTCGGGTGTATCTAATTTTACGAGTTCAATTTCGCGCAATGTAGAAAAAAGAAAATTTAAAAGCCTTCTAGCTATTTCTGGGGTTTCATTGCTTTGTTGCAGCAGATGTGCTTGTCGTTCAAATAAGTAATTGCGAAATTCCAGTATTGAAACAGGACTTTCTTTGATTTTTTTGCGTATCTCAAACTTGTCACGTCTATTGAGACAAATACCATGGAAAAAGCTTAATGGTTGCTTGAAGTATTCCAGCCATTTTTGCTTTTCGCCAAAACCAGAATTAGTTATCAATTGTGAAAACATAGCGTCCAACTCGTCATATTGTATGAGGGCTTCAGTGTGCAATTCTAGTTTCTCGAATATCAAAGCTAGATCTTCTTGCATAAAGAAGTATTGCCGAAAGTCCCAACCATCATGGTTGCGCTTTTCGCGTCTGCTCCGCATAAGCTCTTCGTATTTGGCAATGTTACGGTTGAAACTGGCAAGCATCAAGAACCTACGAATGTGAATGTATTAGTGAAAGAAAATCATAAGGCCCTGAAGGATAAACCTGATGCGTTGCACTAAACAACGAAACGACTCAGCCGATTTCTGTTCGAACTTTGCTGGATTCAAAACTGATATACAACGGTCATCATTTTTTGTAGCAAAGTCCTGTCGTATCTTATCTAAAACTGTGGTGCGTGGCAGCAAATTTTTTGCTTTTCGAACGTCCAATGTCTCGACCAACAAAATCATCCAATCAGTTATACCATAAGTTGTCAGTTGTCGAAGCCAGTTTTTTATTTCTTCCTGCGCATTTGCCTTATATGTATCCAAGTCCTGAGTAGTTTATAAATATATGAAATATATTTCAAAAATTACTGTTTACATACATATGCATATTTACATTGCACTCTGTAACGAAAATATGCAGAATGGGATGCTCCAATATACTCCATTCTCCCTTTTTGTACTTCTCCAGCGCAGTCACATTGAATGGCTGGGTTTGCGCTTCCAAACGCACTTGTTTGGATGGACGATGGTACGTACGACGCCATTCGCATGTATCCAGTGGAATAGCATTCAAAATTTGTGCCTCCAGTGATCGAAAAAGTGGTCCAGCTCCAGCATCTGGGGAGTGAAATTTCGCTGTATTTAAAACCAGATTTTTCAAAGTTTCTTCACTCACATGTTATTATTGGTTTAATATTCATATTTAGATAAAAACCACGACTTTTACGGTTATTTATTGGAAAATTAGTTTTTTCGTCCAACAAAATTTGTAAACGCAGACGAGAACTCCTGCCACCGCAATCAGTTGTGTTTGACAATCGGGAAGTAAATAAATAAACAGGGAGTCCAATTAGATATTAGGTTCATTCCTTATCTTTTTGGACTAAAATCTGAAAAGTGTCAAAATGCCAGAGCGTAAGCAAAATGCGCTNAGAGTCCAATTGGATATTGCTTACCAGAGTTTATGAAGTATTCAAAATAAATCCGGGTATTACACCCCGATTGCAATACGTGACCGTATGGGCCCTGTCACACGGTCAGTAATTATCACGATATTTGGATCGCGATTTGGATTGATCGATCGCGCACGAATGCTACATGTTCAATATTTATCGCGTCAGTATTTGCATAACTTTTATGCTGAACGCTAATTATGACGCAGGAAATTTTTTTATTTTGTACGTATAATTTATAGATAATGCATTCCGCAAAGAACGTAAATGTACATTTACGTTCTTTGGCCTTCATTAGGCAGATTTTTCACGATATTTCTGGCAACACTAGGGTGTCCCTCCACTTTGCACGTTGTCTAACACTGTCCAGTAATCAGTCTCATTTGCAAAATGTCAACAAATGCACCCACAANACCGCAATCAGTTGTGTTTGACAATCGGGAAGTAAATAAATAAACAGGGAGTCCAATTAGATATTAGGTTCATTCCTTATCTTTTTGGACTAAAATCTGAAAAGTGTCAAAATGCCAGAGCGTAAGCAAAATGCGCTCACTAAAAGAGAATAACAGGAAAAGTAAAGGAACGCAAAAAACCAAATTTTTAGTCCAAAGAATGGCAACAACAAAACTAACGTCAAATAAGAATGGAAATGTATGTACAAAACACATTCACACAAGCACAAGCACAATAAACACTTGCTATATCAATTATTTTTTGCCTCCTTCCAATTTCAATTCATTTCTTTTACTTTTTAGATTATTCTCACTTTTTGCGTATTCTTTAATTTCCGTTAATTTAAATTCAGTTGAGTTTGACACTTTTCAGGATTTTGCCAGAAAAAATTCTTCTGACTAAATCTGACTACTTCGGACTGATGAGAGTCACTCTCACCGAGTGTTGCTCTCTCATTTTTGCTGTCATTTCCGAGTTAAGGAACGCTTTTTGGACTAAATCTGACTACTTCGGACTTTTTCTGACTATTTCTGGGAGATAAGGAACGCTCCCATTGCTTACCAGAGTTTATGAAGTATTCAAAATAAATCCGGGTATTACACCCCGATTGCAATACGTGACCGTATGGGCCCTGTCACACGGTCAGTAATTATCACGATATTTGGATCGCGATTTGGATTGATCGATCGCGCACGAATGCTACATGTTCAATATTTATCGCGTCAGTATTTGCATAACTTTTATGCTGAACGCTAATTATGACGCAGGAAATTTTTTTATTTTGTACGTATAATTTATAGATAATGCATTCCGCAAAGAACGTAAATGTACATTTACGTTCTTTGGCCTTCATTAGGCAGATTTTTCACGATATTTCTGGCAACACTAGGGTGTCCCTCCACTTTGCACGTTGTCTAACACTGTCCAGTAATCAGTCTCATTTGCAAAATGTCAACAAATGCACCCACAAGTGTCAAAAACGAGTCCCACTCATAAGCGAGAAGAGTGAAATTACGGTTTTGATAAAAAATTCGATCAATGANGTTAGCCAGATTTTTCACGATATTTCTGGCAACACTAGGGTGTCCCTCCACTTTGCACGTTGTCTAACACTGTCCAGTAATCAATCTCATTTGCAAAATGTCAACAAATGCACCCACAAAAGTCAAAAACGAGTCCCACTCATAAGCGAGAAGAGTGAAATTACGGTTTTGATAAAAAATTCGATCAATGAATTAGTGAAATTTAAATAATAGCTTTAGAAGTCTTCGAGCTAACGAGAGCTTTTATATAGAAAGTGATGGAAAGTCTTTTCGGTCGCGGCCATGATGGATACGTGGGTCGCGAAGAACATATTGTAAGCAACCTCTTCCCCTTACCCTCTTCTAACACGGTGTTATTTATTTTATCTTGATTTTTATCTTGCATATTTTATCGCTCCAGAAAAAATTGCAAGCAAACAACTCCGAAGATGACAATCTAGATGAACTCCCACCAATGATGGAAGAGCTATGTGTTGCAGACGGTCTGCGACCTAGTCCTGGAGGTCCCTTTTCCGCTTTAACACCTTCCATGTGGCCGCAGGAAATTCTAGCGAAATTGGGGCAACCTGAATCTGAGGCTGCGGGTCCTAACGATCAGCCAGACTATCGATTCGACGAATTTGGTTTTCGTGTGGAGGAAGAGGATGGTCCAGAACAAAGCTCGAATAAACTGCTTTCGCAACCATTTGTAGAAGATGCACAGCACCGATTGCAATGGATTGCACATTTAGAATTTTCACACAACAAAGAGGCTACGGAATTGACATGGGAGAATGTGGATGTTATGCTGCCACGTACCGAAAAGTTGCGAAATATGGTTCGTGAAGGTATACCACATTCTCTGCGAGCACAAATGTGGATGCGTTTATCTGGTGCGCTGGCGAAAAAACAAAAAGGCGAAACAAGTTATCATGATATAATTAAGGGTATGAGTATTTTCTTTAATTAGGAAAAGTTAGTATTGACGCATTTCTGTTTTAAATTAGCTTCAGG